CAACATCGCCTCAGGTGGGTCTCCGGGGGGGCTGCGGGCAGGGCCAGCCCCTCTCGTGGGGTGCAGCGATGGAGGGATGTGCCGGTGCGGGAGCTAAAGCCACACTGTGGCTCGGGGCAGGGTGGGTGTGTGTGACAAGGTGCTGGGGTCTGGGGGAGCGTGGCTGCTGCCTGGCACCCCCCAGCATCGCTCCGGGGCAGGGCTGTTTGACAACACCCAGGGATGCCAGGAAAACACCCCCCGGCCTCGCCGCCTTGGCGTTAGGTGGAGGTGGGGGTCAGCAGAGCCCTGCGCTGGGTGTGGGGTGTCGGTGTGACCCAGCCTGTGCCAGAGAGAGGGGCAGGGACACAGTGACCCGGTGCTGAGCCCGTCCCCACCCCTGAGCTGGGGGTCCCTGCCCCTCCCAAGGCATGGTTATCCAGGTGCCTTCAGCCTCGCGCGCATCCTGGGGAGGGTGCTGAGGAGCAAGGGGCAAACAGGACTTTTATTATCCTGTTCTCTATCCCATTTTCCCTGGGACATCAGGAACAGGCTGATGAGCATGGGGAGTTGGGGACAGCCTGGAGCCAGCCAATTTTCCCTGAGCCTACTGTGGGTTTGGGTGCAAGGGGAGCAGGACTGCACTGGACCAAGTTCCCTGGGTTATTGGTGCCGTTGGGCATCACCAGGGTGTCCTGGGGCACAGCTGCCATGCCACGGGCAGTCTCGAGATGTGCCTGGGCTTAAGCAGGCTCTGCCACCTCCCTTGGAGTATTCGGCGTCACCCGGGACAGAGCAGGGCTCCGAAAGGCTGGATGAGGCTTCCCAAAGTGAAGGAAGTGACAAGGGGACAGTCTTGTCCCTGGGGACCAGGGCAGGCTGGGAGCAGGGTGCTCCCACACTGATGGGTGATGCTGCAGGAGGGGCCAGGTTCCCAGGGCTGCTGTGGGGTGAGCTGAGTTTCCACGGGCTCTGCCCGGGCTGTCACGGGCTGTGCTCCCCCTCCATCCCCAGATCCCGTGGACTGGAGCCCCAGCAACGTGCAGAAGTGGATCCTGTGGACAGAGCACCAGTACCGGCTGCCGCAGATCGGGAAGTCCTTCCAGGAGCTGTCGGGAAAGGACCTGTGTGCCATGTCCGAGGAGCAGTTCTGCCAGCGCTCGCCTGTCTGCGGCGACATCCTGCACGCCCACCTCGACATCTGGAAGTCTGGTAGGTGCCAGGGACCGGGAGGGAGCTGGGGAGGGAGGGTGATGCTTGCAGTGGGAGATGCCCCTCTGACCCCCTGCTCCTCCCTTCCAGCTGCCTGGATGAAGGAAAAAGTCGCCCCGGGAGATGTGAGATACTGTGGTGAGTTCTGGGGGGGCTCAGCTCCACTGGTTTTGCTTCTGCCTCAGGCAGGTCTGGGCTATTTGAGAGGGTGCTCCCTGCTTAATTGCAATTATCTGGTGCATTGGAGTGGCTGGGGGGGGGCCAAACCCCGCGAGGCG